CGGTCAACAGTCATTTGGGTCGTTTCCATCTTTTTTCTTATCTAGACCTTTCTTTTTTGGCACATGGGCCCAACCATACCCAGAAACTATTCTCTCCCACAAAACCGATATTTTAGACTTGAACTTCGTTCAGAATTAAAATAAGGCTTTTAAACAGAAATCTTTTTTGTCATTTGTAAATGGTAGTTCTTCGCTCCTGAGAAGTACTTGGAGTAGGCAGTGAGCTAACCCACAGCATCATGTGCCTGGCACATAGTATGCACTCTGCAGAAGTAAGTCCTTGAGAAGTCTGGGAAGAATTAGGAAAGAAGAAAGGGGGTAGAATGAAGGGACTGGTTTCAGAGGTTGGCTTAGAACAGGGGAGACTTGTATGTGATAGGAGGCCCTGGCTCATTTCTCCTGCTGTCTTGGGTTGCTCACAGCTAAGCCCGGTGCCACTCTGACCTACAACTCTGCCCTCCTCCATGTTCCTGGATCAGTTTCAACAGGAGCAGCAGATCACAAGCTACGGCTTGTGCAACTGGGCACCATTCATTTCCTCAGGCCCCAGTCCTAGGTCCCAGGGATGCCACAGGCTGGACCTCCGTGCCCAAGTCACAGCTCCCCCAGTCCCTTGGACTCCAGTTCCTAGAACTGGGCTTATGTTAGGTTCCCAACAGCGCACACCTCCTGAGGACCGGTACTGGCCCTGTCTGCCACCCGGGATCATCTGCCCATGTTTCCCTACTGGTATGTCACATCCCTCTGAAATCCAGGTGGAGCCCACAGTCTCCTTTTGGAAATCCCTCATGTCAGCTGCTTCCAGAACCATCACAGAACTTGCCACATCCTCTGTATCCTGGGCCTTGTCCATGAGCTGATCCTCTGCTCCCTTGTCCACCTCAGACCACTCCTCAGGGCTGAGCTGTAGTGAGAGGCCCCCTTGCGACAATGCTGGGTTCAGTTATATTGAACTAACATTTCTGAACGCAGCATCTAAGCTCAGCGCTAGGCAATATAAAGATGCATAAGATATGTCCCAACCTTCCCGGTTTTAAAGTGCCATTAAAAACACCTGCACAGGACCATAGTTCAAGGATAAAGGTTAGGCCTTGAAGATGAAAAGACACCATCTCTTTGGAGATGGGAGAAAAGAACACACAGGCCCAGCCCCTTCTCGGGATAAGTGACGCAAATGGGTATGAAGCCTTCAGCTGAGTGGAAAAGGTTTGGAACAAAACCCAAGGGGGCCTTAAGGAGGACAGTGGAAGAAAAACCAGGCATGACCGAGGAAGAGCTGAGACCCAGCTGAGATCAGATATGTGATCTTATGAATGTGGGAGGTTTATCACTTCTTTCTCCCAAGCCCTACTCAGCAGTTCAGAGCAAGACAGGGGGAAAGGAGGGCAGAGCTAAGGACTGGCCAGGGGCTCACAGCTGACGGACAAGTCTAGGGTGTTTATAAACACATGGCTAAGACACTGGACCATGACTGAGTGGACAGGAGTCCAGGTGAGGCCAGAACAATGGAGTGCGGTTGGAGGCCACAGAATCAGGGCCCAAGAAGATGAGGCCAGCGAGCAGGGTCAGAGGGCATGAGGGAAGCACGGAGAGAGCATCATGGAGGACGGCAGTTCGTCCCCGGCTCTGGAGACCACAGACTCCACACCATATTTGTGTCTTCTTTCCTTCCTCCCTGCCACTCGCTGTCCCTTCCACAGATCCTGTGTGTTATCTGTTTCCAACGTGCTAATCACCGGACAGCCTAGACATGAGCCCTTGCCTGGTAGTCCAGAGTCTAGTGCAGAAGAGAGACACTTCAACTCCCCACACCCAGTGTAGCAAGCGTCCCGTGGGGGGCACAGACAGGATGCCCTGGGAACACCCCGACGCATGACCCACACTGGCAGTTTGCAGAAGGCTTTCCAAGAGGAAGTGATGTCTGAGCCGGGACCTCAAAGATAAGAGGAAGTTAAGCAGACAGAAGGGTGGGGGGAGTGTAGCACTGCAGGCTGACGCCTCTCCTCACTGCCCACCTGGTGGCAGCTGGCTTTCCCTCAGCTGGAACTGCTTTCAGATATCACCACTCAGCTCCTCACCAAATCTTGCCTTTGCGGGGCCCACAGATGTTGTCACCTCTTGCTTTTCTCCCTCCTCTCTGACCTCCCTTCTCTGCTGCCCCGCTTCGTGCCCTCCCCTGCCCCCAAAACATACGTGTCGGTGTCCTCTTCAAGGCCGTGACCACACGTCTTGCTCTCCAGCATCTCTCTTCTTCCATAATTGTGTCAACATCCATATTTTCCTCTCCGGCCCTGGCCTCCCTCAAGGACCCAGCACCATGTTTTCAACAGCCACGGACATCTCATGGTCTCATCCATCAGCCTTCAAAACTCTTGATTTTATCGCCTTTCACCTCATGACGGTATCTCTGTGGTGGCCCCGGCCTTATCCCTTCCTTTCCCAGATGCGTGGTCTGGGGTCTCATTAATTGTCACCTCCGAGGCCATCTTGCTTTCCCCGCCCCCACACCCCACAGTCACCTGGCCTGTACGTGCTCCCTAACCGCCACGTACCTATGCTGCACACACAGTAGGGGGCATTTCCTGCTCCGCTCCCGGCCAGCTCTGAGCAGGCCTGCTTCTGGAGAGAGCTCCTGAGTGAGAGGCCCGTTGTATTTGAGAGGAAGCCCAGCTCCTTAGATGGGCTTCCAGGCCTCAGTCTGGCCTCAGAGCATCTCCATCTATTGCCTCTCATGGCCTTTGCTTCAGAGGAAGTGCCCTACAGGCGCCATGTTGCCACTTCCTTGCCAGCTCACATGGGCCTCTGGTTCAATGCCCTTGCCTCCAAGTGCCCACTGTCCAGATCCTCAGCAAAGCTCATCTCAAATATCTCTGGTTCAAAGAAACCGCCTGTGGTTTTTTCCGTCAGAGGAAACGTCTCCTCTCTGTCTACACCTCTCTATTGGAACCCATCACTGTCTGCCTTGTATTTTAGTTAGTTGTGTGCGTCTCTACTTCCCCAGCATATCTGAAGGCAGGCCTTGAGGTCAGGGGTTCAGATTTCTTTATCTCTGTATATAGGTTCAACATGGGGAACTGGTACATCCTGGGTACTCCATCCGGAGGTGTGGAGTAAAGGCGTGAATGTGGTTTCAGTAAGGCCATTTTAAAAAATGCAAAAATAAGTCTTTTCTGATTTCACTCTTAGAAAACTAACCTAAGAAGTATCATAACGTAATAATCAGAGCAAGAACAGAGATCGTAGATATTATTCTATTATTCTGTCTCCTTCAACCTTCACAAGTCATTCTGAGTCATGTCATGTCCCTCATCTCTGTCATGGGGATGATTCTGGCCAGACATTGTCTTTGGTAGAAATGTTCTCCAGGTTATGAGACATCAGGTCACATATGCCATGTTACGTAGTCTCTAGTTAAAGGAAAGCTCATGGGTTAGCGGGGACCTTCGTTTTCACGTTTGTGTCTCTCAGCACCAGCTGAAGGTCCTGTTTCTGTTTGCTCCATGCATGTTTCCAATTCGGTGAGCAGAACCGTGACTTTGCTGATAAAAAAAAGCATGCCTGCCCAGTCCTGCCACAGTTGTACAGATGTGGGAAGGCAGGTCCCTGCATGACCCGTCGAACAGTGGCCCTACCATTGTGGAGCTTCTGGAGTTAGGCTTGTAAAAGTAAAAAAAAAAAAAAAAAAAGAGATTTTTGTTCTTTCAAAAACTTGCTATAACCCTGAGCCCCTGTATGCATAGAGCGAGCAGGTTGCTTTTCATTCCAGTTAGGACAGTGGTGAGAGGCGAGACTCAAACAGAAACAAGAAATATTTAGATTCGTTGGGGGGCGAGGGGGGGCAGGGATCTGGCTGGTTAAACATCGGAATGCTTCTTATGTGGAAAAAAAAATGAGGCTCATAATTAGACAAATGTATCTACACGGCTGAGACATGGGGATTTATGAGCTCAGAGTGAGGGGGAGGGCTTCTTAGACGATGGAGAGAAAAAGACTATTTAAAAGGCATGACCCCAGGGCATTAGCACGTCTTTCAGGGCGAAACTGAGAACACAGAGCACCTTAGGGATGAGCCAATCTGTCGGCCACCTTAATCTACAAATGAGGATGCAGAGACCCAAGCCAGTAAGTGAGGTGTTTTAGGTTATTAGTGTAGCTGGATGAAAACCTAGGGCTTCTGACCCCATGCTGGTGCTAATTCTGGAACCTGATGGAGGGGGTCATACTAGCGGCAGAGAGAGGCTTTCATTGTCTGAAGATGTCGTTAATATAAACAAACATGTCCTGAGGATGGTCTCCTCTGCTGACTTCATTGAAAACACACACACACACACACACACACACACACACACACACACACACAC